GTTGGACAGAACCTTGGGCAACACCGTCTAGCATGAGATGTCCCTGCCCATTGCAGGGAGCTGGAACTAGATGAGCTTAATATCCTTTCCAACCCAAACCATTCTGTGATTCTATGATTTTACGTACCTCACTAGCAATATGGAGCACCGCAGAACAGCAGGCTAGGCTGTGCGCCCGAGAGGTTTTTGCACTGTCTCAGCAAGCCCGGGGCAGGGCAATCTCTGTGAGCCCTGATCACCCACCCGCCAGTGGGCTGCAGGCCACACCAGCAGAGCTGCGGTACCGAGCGGCCGTGAGCCGTGGCTGCCCAGCGGCACATTTGCTCCTCACCGGCACCCCGGGCTTGGGCGGGCACAGGCTGAGGTAAATCGCGGGGATCGCTGCCCTCAGGCTGAGACAGAGGGAAACTTCGGCACTCGCTGCCTGAACGCTGCTGCGACCAGCTCGATGACCGGCTGGCCCCACTTTGCAAACGCCGGGCTGTCACGAAGCCCGTTATCCGCCTCGCGTTTATCTAACGCTGTTTTCAGGGGACTTCTCATTCGTGCCTGCTACGAGCGCTCAGGCACGGCTGTGTAAGGAGAGGGTTCCAGCCTGGCAAACCATCCCAGCCCGCACTTGGAGGCTGTTTCTCTCAGCTCGAGGCCTGCACTACCTCCCGCTGCAGGCAGCTGCACGGCCGCCGCCGGCGGGACGGCAGGCTCTAGGCTTCCTCTGTGAGGGAGAGAAAAGCCCCGCTATGGCGGCTCGTTGGTCTAGGGGTATGATTCTCGCTTAGGGTGCGAGAGGTCCCGGGTTCAAATCCCGGACGAGCCCCGTCTCTTTTTTTTTTTTTTCGCTTCCTCTATTTCTGCCCCAATTGATGAGCCTGGTGCCCTCCCCCGCGGTGCTTCAGGCACAGCGTGGCTCCCAGCCACAGCGAAGAGACATGGGCAGGACTCGCAAAGAGGCATTTCCTTTTCAATGCAAGGAAAGGGTCACCCCTCCCACTGTAACGCTCCCGAGGAGACGGGGCTGTGGGGCGCCCTGTTCACCCGCTCTCAACCGTTACCCCCTGCGGCTCAACCTCCGCACAACCCGGCTGCGGCCCCGCAGCTACTGAGTTTGTCGCTCTATCCCGGCACCAGCGCCCACCCTGCCATTGCGGGCAGGCCCGAGGCAAAGAAGCATGAAAACGCAGAGGGGCACCCCGGCACCAAAATAAGTGCTTTCGCACCCTCTTTGTAGCGGGCTCGTCCGGGATTTGAACCCGGGACCTCTCGCACCCGAAGCGAGAATCATACCCCTAGACCAACGAGCCGCTCTACCGTTTGTTCCCCAGCTCAGCACTTCACTCTCTTCCCGCCTCCTACTGCCCAGTGCCTCTATGGGCCTGCCCTCCCCCGACTCGCAATGGTTCTGCCCACCGCTTCGGAATACGCCATTCTTCTCCTTAACAGTGGAGGTTGCTGCAATTTCCTTCCCCCCACACCCAAAGGGCAACCGTTGGCATCGCCCTTTCCTTGACCCGTAGGCTCTGCTTGGCAGAGGCGATTCCAAGTTCCCCGGGCAGCACCGAAGGCCGCCGAGCTGCTTTCCCGAGTCTCGGAAGAATACCCGCAAACAAGCTTCCGCTTCGCGCTCGCAGCCAGCGCGCTTGGTGGGCAGTAGCAGGCACGGCCAGTGGGTTGGAAGCAGGGCGAGCTCATTCTCAGCAAATGGGAAAGGGGGGCAATGGGGTACACACATACTCCTCCCCCGACCAGCTTTGGTTTATCCCGACCCGCTCTCTGCCGAGCATTTATGCACCGCGCCCCTTAGAGGTGTGAGAGAGGAATGGCGGGTTCCCCTCTGCTCGCTGGGGCCGGCGGTAATGGCCTTGGGCTCCTGAGGGAAGTGCCTCAGCCGCTGGGAGTGTGTTTCTCATGTGTTATGGCCCAGAGGAGGCAGTGGCGTTCCCTTTCCTTTCTGAACCAATGCTGCAGCTTTGGCTCCCACTTCGTCCCTGATGTGCTGTATCCTGCAAATGCCTCTTGTCAGTCGCAAGCATCCCCCTCATGTTTCCACACCTTCAAACCAGTCTCCCTTGCATCCCAGATCTTTCAAAAGAGCCTTATTCCTACCGTCAGTAATTGCTCTTAGTCCTTAACCACCCAACACTTTCTTGTGGATGGCAGTACGGTTTAAACACAATCCAATTAAAAAATAACCAAAAAACCCAAGAAAATCCCAGCTAAACACAGCAACTACAGTTTCCTTGCTCTTGGGCTGCATGTCTTGGCTCCACTTCATCTTTACTCTTGCTGTTTTCCACCCTTCCCCCCAGTTTAAAGGACTTCTGTCAGGTTGTGCTTTTCCTTTTGAGGCATTATCCACACCAGAGGAATTGCATAAACTATATCAGATTTGTACTGCTGAGGGCATTTTCCTGTTTGGCCATCAGTGTTCATACACCTGTCAATTTGATAGATATGTATGGGACAGAATAGGCCCAGTACACCAAGCTAAGCTGTGGTCAAGTTCCAGTCAAAACTGTTTGACTAGGTATGCCTTGTGGATACACCACCATGCTGCCCAAGCCAACATTCCCTGATAATATGGATAGTATTCCTGCAACTTGTAAGGCCATCAAGGATGGAGATGATGATGCAACTTCTGGCACAGAAAGTCTCTAAACTGATGACTGGCAGAAGCTTGGGAAATCTCACAGGAAGGAACACTGTGTGTCACCTTGAAGGTTTTTGTGCTTCCCCTGAACTAGGATGCTGTTGGAGAAATGGCATTAGGTGAGACAGCTTTGCTTTCTTCTGTTCCTTGGTACACAATACCTGCAGGGCTGGGGCAGGGAGTGTGGTTATTTCCAGTGTCACTGCTTTCCCCAAAGAACACCTTCCTTTGTGGATTAAGCACGTCAGTTATTGATGTTCCCCCAAAATAAAAAATACCATAAATTAAATTAAAACTGTTCAAATAGCACCCCTATTTTGCCTTCCACTGCCAGGTCTCTCCATCCTACCTCAGGATCCTTCATCTCCCCATGAGGAAAAACACAGATTTTGTTCTGGCTTGGGTTTATTCCACCATTTATTCTATTTCTCCCTCAAATTTCCATTCCCTTGCTTGGGACACACATACTCATTCTCTAAACAGGCACACATATATCTATATATATAGTAAGGCACAATCACTCATATCCAGATGGGACACACTGCTGAGAGAAGAAACAGGGTACAGTGAATGACTGCAGCCTGCCCTAGAATAAAAGCTCTAACAAACAGATTAAAATTGATTCAAAGATAACAATGCTCCATAGCATGGCTCAAAAGGATGTGGGGTCCTCCGTGTCTAACAAGTCCACATGAGAGTGTCAGCACTGCTGGCTCTCAGCAAATGACACCTTGGTGCTCTCACTTAGGAAAAAGAAAGGCAGGGCACAGAGCCACTTCTTTCCTTGTGATTTTAGAGCTGGTGAACAGAAAGGGGATATCCTTCAAAACCATTGGGGATGCGTTACAGAGTCCACTTAAGGTCAGATGTGTGTGTAAAATGCTTGTTCCTGTGCAGAGAGACAGGGAGAACCTGAGCCTCTGACTCTGCTCAGCTTAATGTTTGCTAGGAGGAGCTTCGTCATGGATGAGGAGCTGTCTGGTTCTGCCCTTGGTCTCGGTAGCTGCATCCAAGGTGGCTGATGGCAGGTTCAGGCATTAATTCCTGACTGTTCACACCACCTAACAGCTAGCGGACTCCTTGGCTCAGCTTTTGACAAGCCTGGCTAGCTGTCTCCAGTGAGCCCAAACTTGTCCACAGCTTTATGTCGTGCTGTGAACATAAGCCCCATGGTCTTGAGCCAGAGCAGCTTTTTATTCAGTACTGCAGATACAGCTTCAAGCACTGCTGTGAGGAGGGTCTGTTATCTGTCTTTCCCAAATAAGTTATTTCTTATGGGCAACAAATACTCTCCATATGAAAAGCTTTTTTTTGGCTTAGCAACTGCTAGACCCATGACTTAACTAGTACCTGAAGAGTGAATGCAACTCTAGTACAATATCTAGGAGAGAATGGCTATCTGACCTTCACCAATTCATATTCAGCCAGGCCATACGAATGGAGACTCAGCCATCTTCTGAAAGACCTCTTCTTTGACCTACATAAAATAAACCAGCTGTTCCCAGTGAACCAGGATGCTTTCTGTCATGAGTGACACTCAGTGGTGACAAACTGGAAGTCTCAAAATAGAATCAGACTGGATAGGGTCTGGAAGTGTGAAAGACTGAGGGACAGGCAGCACTTCTAAATCTGGACTGGAGTCCAGAGCCAGATAAAAAAGTTGCCCTGTTGACTTAAGCAGCACATCACAGCTACACATCAGCACATTTTCTGTGCATCAAATCTGTTGATTGCTTTCCCCCAGCACTAAAACCACCCCAAAAACGAAGCATACAGAAAAACTGCCTAGCATAGCTTTCTGTTTCACAGGTCAGACAGCTCAACCCCACTTCAAAGGGATTTTATGCTTTATGAACAATTTCCTAAGAGTTTTCCCATGTTCAGGGTTCACGTTGTCTGCCATACAGCATATATGGAGAAAACATACTTTTTCCTACTTTTAAAACATCGTTTACTGAAATTTGAAAATCCAAAATGTTTCAAAAGAAGCTTCCAAAAAGGCACCATACATGTATGTATGTAACTAATGAACTTCATCTAAGACCAGTTCAGGGGAGAAGGAAAAGACATTTTGGAGCAGGATGAAGAAGCAGAGAGACCAGGAATGGTGGTGGTTGTCAGCTCCAGGATAGCACATATCAGGTCTTTCAGTCCCCAGATATCACCAAGGAATGTCAGACAACACCAGTTTTGAGCTCTGAAGCTACTGCAAACCAGTCTCTTGTTCCAACTGTCCCTAAGTATGATGGTGCAAAACAGGGAGACAGTGAGCTGCCACTCAGCTCAGGGATGAGTATGTACCTCAGGGAATATCTGTGTTCTGCTCCTCTCCTGCCACGGAAGGTTTTCCACCTTGTAACTTCCACCTTGACTGAGTAAGATGGCTCCTATTTGCATGTTAAGTCTCCTGTGCCCTGACTGTGTATGTCCTTTTAAGAGGGGAAAAGAAAGGAAATTACACAAAATAATCATGTGTCTAAGTAAAAACAGTGCTGGTGTGTGGGGTCTGTGACTTCGATATTTCTTTGGGGGGTATTTTGATAGTTTCTGTGCTAGGACACAAAGGCAAGATGCAGCCTGAGCACTAGCCTGCTTCGTTCAATTGCTTCTTGCCAAACCAACGAGGCATTTGAAGAAGGAACAGGTGTTTGAGGTGGAATGATATATTTCTTCAGGCATCTGTGGCTATATTATCAGTGGTTAGAGAATGTGTAAGAACCTACATGCAACAAGGTCCACTTGAGCCAGTGGAAATCCTCTTTTATTTCAAGTGGCAGAGGCCCGTGTCTGCATGCTTACAGGGCTGATCAGGAAATTGGTACATGTGAAAAGACTTTTTTTGCTAGCAAAACTAACAAGCTAAACACATGTATATATAGAGAATATGTATGTATGCATGCATATCTACAATGTGTGCAAACATATAAATACGTATATGTAAGGAGGCATATCGAGATAGTACATAGGTGGTTACTGTTGCGGAAAAGTGCTTTTCACTGAAAGCACTTTGAAATTGCTTTCAAACCAGCAACTGAGCAGGGTGCCTGGTGAGCAGAGGCACCGTTTTACTCAATCCAGAATCAACTTTGCTTTTTCTCCATACTCTCTGTAACACCACCCAGGAGGGCTGTTTGGGTTTTTTAAATTCCCTGCCTTGCAGCCTCTGCAGGCCTGAGATTTGATACTTTTGAGGTGTGGAGAGCAGCAAAAATGATTGAAAATTGCCATTTTCAATAATAAGCAAAACATTCTGGCATTTTAGGAGCCATCATCATGCTGACCTGTCTTACCTGCGTGTTATGGTTACGCTGTGCCCTGGTCCTGCGTAGCTGACATTGAAGGCTCACTGGCAGTCTCCAAACCCACCATGTCTGGCAGCTGTTCAGGTGCCAGTGGTGTTTCTTCTGATTCTCTCCATGTGTCTGTGCTCTCACTGGTCTCCTTTGCTTCAGCTTCTTCCTTCTCTGTGTACCCCTTTTCCTGTTCACAGGCTTGCTGCTCTTCTTCCTGGAGACCCTCGAACACCTTCTCCTTGTTGCCAGAGGGAGGTTGGGGAGAGTTCTCCTCTGGGGCACAATGACACTCTTCCTCCTCCTTTGTATCCCATGCATTACTCTTGCAAGGAGTCATTTCCTCTGCCTGTTTTTCTCCTTTTTCTTCACCTTTTGATCTGCTGGATCCTCTCCTTGATGGGGGCTTTCCATCAGACCCTGTGTGTTTCTTTTGCTCTTTGCTCTCTGTTTCTGCCTCCTCTGTCTTGCCCTTGGGCCCAAATACCTCATCCCCATCTTCCTTGGCACCATTTTCTGGAAAGATGTTGACCCCTAAATCTTCCCCATCTCCGTACTCAGACAGAGATCGTCGGAATTTCCTGGAGGGGGGCCTGCGCTTTATCAATCCCCTTGTCCGCACCTTGGAGGCAGGAAAAGCAGACACTGAAGCAGTTGAAAGAGTACTACTGGAAAGCATGAAAATACGAGGAAAACAGCAGAAAAAACTTTATTGCTACCCTGGTGGCCTCACTTTCCATGCTCTGCTACTGAGAGGTAGGAAGAAGGCAGCTCCCTGACAATGAGAGACTACTTTATAGGACAAGCAGCTCTGTAATATATGCATCCTTTCCTTCTGTAAAGATGGTGGCAGAAATCATTGTCCCAGTTAAAACTGTGGTCCCTTGTCCAAGTTAGACCCTCACCCCAAGGATGCTGCATTCATTACAAAGATGCTGCTGACTGGGTATCTCAGTCTTTCCTACTCTTGGCAGTTTGGTGGTTGAGGAAGGAGTCTGCAGTCTAGCTGATGATGGTGAATGCAGGTTAGAGGTCCCCATTCAAGTGCTGAGCACTCTGTGAGGACACCTGGTAACCACTGTGCTCTGCATGGCTCCCTAAAGTGCGCCTCAGCCACCCTTGACATATGCTACACATGGCACCACCTTCTCACAGCACTCCCTGCCCAGGTACCAGCCACACTGTTACTGCTGAGCTGAAGTGACTGGGTCCTGCCACTTTTATCACTTTACCAACTGGGCTGGGAAAAGCTGCTGGAACACAAACCTCTGTATGCAGGTGAGCAGAGACAAGGCTTCACAGAGCTACACTGACAGGCAGTTACGAACCTGGGACTGAGGGCTACAGCCTCCTCTTCATCCCCAAGCAATAAGCAAGCCTTACCCTTCTGTGATGGAGAAATCCTAGTACATACTGTACCTTGTTATAGAACTGCAGCTGAGTGCCTTCTGGGGGTTGATCAAAGCTGACTGGCACCTCACTTGCTCCACTGGGCTCGGACTGAACCCCAGGGCTGCTGGGTGTTGAGGGAGGGGTGCTGAACGGAGAAACCAGGGCTTTCAGACCAGGACTTTTGGGAGATGCTCCTGACAGCAGAGCAGCTGGAGCAAAAGCCAGAGTGGCCTACAGAGAAAACATCCCCGTCATAATGGTGTGCATGATACCAGCGCGTACTACGTGCGGTAACCACATGGAGGAACCCTTGCTCCCGCCACGGGAGCTGCTGCATCTCAGCTGTCACAACCCACGTACCTTCTGGTTATGGGTCTTTCCTGGTGACACTGTCAACAAACAAATTCGGGCAGAGAAATTATGACTGGACTTTTGCCTTTCCCCAGCAGCTGGATCTCAGGACGTCTGTTTTTGTTATCCTGAGGCCTTTTGGGATTTTCCAGTGACCCAGCCAAGCCTGCCGCAGTCTACAGTGGCTGAGGTGGGAGAAAGTCTGAACAAGCAGCCAGCATCACTTCAAGATTTAGACCACCCCTGTGTGTGCCCAAGCAGACCTCTCATTTTAAGGCCTGGTCTGCAGGTCTTCTGAATGATCTGTGAAGTTATGAGGAGCAAGAAGACCATGGAAAAAGAAGCTAGCTTGTGACTAATTGTGGCAGAACACTTCCTGCTGGTGTGTCACAAAAAACCTCTTCTAGGCAAATGTCCTTGGGTGCATTAAAGGGACAGTGCTATCAATACGCTTATGTTGTGTCAGAGCAGCCAGTAGGCACTGAGCTCTGGAGTCGCAAGTGCTGCCAGGAGAGGCAGGTGGCAGTGGCAGGGCACTATGTCTACAGGCTATCGAGTGCTGAGCTGCCCTCAGTGTCATCAATCAGGCCCTGTGGAGAGATACAATAAGGGCAAGAGGTACTAGGTGTGTTTGTGCCTAATGGGGAATCGAGGTGAGAGATGCACAGAGCTTCTGGGCACGCAGAGGGGAGTGCCAGAGCCTGGAGCACACTCTCTGCTGCTAGGATTTTAGCTGTGCCAGCTCCCTGAATGGGTACAGGTGATTCAATTTAATATATAAGGGCAACTCCCGTATGAAGACAGGCTGAGAAAGTTGGGGCTGTTCAGCCTGGAAAAGAGAAGCTGTGTGGAGACCTCATAGTAGCCTTCCAGTATCTGAAAGGGGCCCACAAGGATGCCATAGAGGGACTCTTCACCAGGGACTGTTAGCTGCCAGACAAGGGATTTGGGTTCAAACTTAAATGTGGGAAGTTCAGATTAGATACAAGGAAGAATGTCTTTACTGTGAGGGTGGTGAGGCACTGGAACAGGCTGCCCAAAGAACACTTCCCTGGAAGTCCTCAAGGCCAGGCTGGACAGAGCTTTGGGCGACATGGTCTAGGGTGAGGAGTCCCTGCCCATGGCAGGGGGTTGGAACTAGATGATCTTAAGGTGCTTTCCAACCCAATGGTTTAGACTGCTGCAAAGAGCTGGAAGAAATCTCAGCCAGGGTTTCCTTCACTTTTCTCTCACGAGCTGCATTTAAACTGAGGTGCCTGTCCCTGCTTCCTACCTGAGCTGTGCTACTGCAATGGCCATACCCAGCCACATACCCCACAGGTCCAAATGATCCTGACCCACACACTGCCCTGCCTGCGGATGTGTTTGAGGATCACTAGACAGTTTCTGATATTGGTTAGCATCAGTAGACCTGCTCTGCCTTTCTTGTTTGTGTGCTGTGGAACTGGGCCCTCCTCGGTGAGGCCTCTGTCCTGCTTACCTAGATGTCATCGTTGACTCCTGGATCCCCTTCCCCAGTGGCTGCTCTGCAGGTAAAGCAACTATGACAAATGCCAATCAATTTTTATTTGCTGCAGCAACCATGTGGGCTCCTCCAGGACCTACCTGCAGCTTTTCAATCATGGGGGAGCTTTTCACCTTGACCTTGGGAACGGGGCAAGCACTGGGAGACTGCCTCTGCAAAACAAAATGAAACATGAAAAAGTCACAGTAAAGTAAGTGAAAAAGAGGAAATACAGTGAAGGTGGAAAATTTGGAAGAGAGAAGCAGAAAATACTAGTCGGGGAGCAAATGAAGTCTTATATGATGTCTTCATGCAAAAGTTTGCTTTCTTCTTTCCTTACCATGCCCTCCTTTTATTCTCTGGCCATCCTAGGGTTCTGCATACATGTATCCTTTCTATGGGAGAAAAGGTGATTGTCTACTTTCTGGCTGAAGTACCTGAGTTAGGTGATGTGTAATGGATTTGCTGCCTCATGGCCTTCAATAAGGTAGATAACCTATGACACATTTACCACTGGTATTATTTCAGGACCAGACAGATTAAAATTCTACTTCTTAAAGGATACAAACCTTAACGTTGGCAAACATTGTGAACTTTTTATGACAGGAAAGACTTTCTGCCACTACTTGACTAACAGTATCCAATTAGTATGGGCAAGAAAAGCCTAAGTGGCTAGGAAGACAGAGCTGTGAAAGGCTGAAAACAGTTTAAGAAAGTGAGAGAATTGCTTTGAGAAAGAGCATATAGATTTTTCCAGGTTCAAAGCAAAAGGAAAGAAACATAAGATTTTAAAGCTTGTGCTCCTTTGGCATGGAGGCAGCAAGAGCCTGTAGCTGTCAGAACAGAAGGATAAAGAACCATCCCCTTGTTAAGGGCAGGTGAGAATGTGAAATTTGGTGGATAAACCTCATACCCTGAAATACAGAAGGACAGAAGTGACTGGAGAGGGCCCAAGCGTGAATCTTAGTGAGTAGCAGACAGCTTATGGGGACCTGCTCATTTGGGGGTGCTGTATGAAGGACACCTGAGGACAATGTTCTGTGGGTACTGCTGACTAAATCCCTCTTCACTCTGTATTAATTATTCCCTTTTTCTGACAAAGGAAAAATCTCAAGAGCAGAACTATTCCACCATTATGCTCAAACCTCTACAGTTCATCTGAAGGCAACAAACAGCATGTGTGTCCCCTGTGCTAAGCGCTGTTTAAATCTAGTAAATGTTGGCAGTTCCTGCTTTAAAATGCTTCAAAGGTGTTAACTGGGTGGATCCATCATGACTCTAACAGTAAAACAAAAGCAGTAGAAATGGGATATGTATCCATGCTATAAGCCTGGAAAACAGCGTGGAGCTGACGCTGAGTACGTATGTGTGAGCAGGGATTCTGCATGACTGATGTCTTTTGCTGCACAGCCTGACCTTTCTGCAACCTTCATATTCATGTCTCAGGAGAGAAGAGGTGGCAGAGAGGAGAGACCTTGTCCCTCTATTAAACTGGTACTCACTTGCTCATCATTGTCACTTGTCTCAGTTTTGTGGGAATACAATGGAAGGGAGCATGGTGGTTTCCTCCGAGTTGGCTTATGTGGTGGTACCTAAGAGAAGAAAACAACCAACTCAGCAGCAGGGAAATCAATGTTTTTTTAAAAAGGAAATGAAATTCAGGCACCAAAGGCCACGCTCTGTAAGTGACCTGCTTGGATGGCAGGGCTTAGCTTGCCTCAATGCATCATCTAAAGACAGCACAAGACATTAGCATGTGGGCTGTGGCCAGCATGCTACGTGTGCTTGTAGTATCTCAAGCCCAATCCTAGTTGGAAAAGTAGTCTCTATCTCTTTCCACAGCATGAAACACGACACTTCAAGCTTTGCGCAAAGGACACTGTTCTAAGCTGTAGAGGTTGGAGAAGCCTTCCCAGAAGCTTAATCTTCAAAGCATCCTGCTGGAGACCCCCTCACACTGCAACAGCTTGTTATGGCTCTCTTTCCTCTCTTATTACCAGGATTTCTGTTTAAAGAAAGCTGCCTACCTGGATCATGATTTTCCTTTTTTGCATCTGACCTATTTTAGGGGCAAAAAGGGGAATCCTGACTTTTTTCAACATGCCTTACAGCCTTATTATTTTCTTTCTAACGAAGAAGAGCAGCTCACAGAGGCAAGTGTTCAGCTGTAACTTTTAGGCTGGCTAAGGAACAGATTCTCCAGAGAGAAGGAACAAGAAAACTTAACGGCAGGGACACCAGTTCATTCTGAATGTCCTTGGGCTCTCAGAGGTACAAGAGTGCTCACAGAGATGCACAGCACAGCACCTATGGAATTGTTCCTTCATAACTATTGCTCTGGTCTTGAAGCCAAGCTCTATCTATTTTTATGCCAGGTTTTAACACTTTTAATGTGTTAACAGACAAAATACTCAGATCATATTGTGGATCTTGGATAATATCCACAATCTAATAATTCTGTTACCTTCTAACAGGCAGGCGTGTGAAAAGTTGAATTATGGCACTTTGCTCTCTGTAGAGTTGGCTGTCTTGGAGGAGCTGTAGTCTTGATGTCGCTTAACTGCTAATGATGCTGCAGCCAGCATGGCAATGCTGCATCTCTGAGTGGCCAGGGCAGCCCTGCCCTTATCACTTTGTCACATTAGAAAGCAATAATGTCATGTCTTACTGAAACCTCACCATTTTGCAGCCGTCAAATGCTGTGCTGTGCCACAGTGAATGTATCAGAGGTTTCCTGGTTGATAGGTTCCCCTTTGCTGGCATGAGTCAAGCAAGGGTTAAAGACCATCCACTCAGCCATTAATCTGAAGCCAGCTTGAGAAAGCCAATGGGGAAGTGACAGATGGCTTGGAGAGAAAAGACAGGAAACTTTGTACTCCTCTGTCTCTGGAGAAAATTAGTTTCTCCCCACTGTGAGGCCCCTCCACACTGCCTTGGCTTGGGAGTACCAGAAGTCTGCAGATATAACACAAGAGAGGTCTGAGAACTTTCTGCCTTTTGAAGGGTGAGGCAGTTAGTACAGTTAAATCCCACACCTTAAACAGGGGAAATTACTGTAATGGGATGGATGGAGTGGTGTGCTGGTGACTAGAGGGGAAAAAAAGTACTTGGGAAGAGACTGGCTATTCCCATCCTGGGGCCTGGCTATGGGAGTGCTGCCCTCTGATAGACGGTGGCATACCAGCACTACGGGGTAGAGGTCATTATTGCATCCAGCCAAAGACAGGGGGGATCCCCTTAGGCGCAGCCTGGGACATGCTGAAATCAGCTGAGCAGCAGAAAGAAGCAGTTCAGTTTTAAAGTGGTGCTCACTGACTGAGGAGGGCCACCAGTAAACATATATGCTTCTAAACCAGTGCATAATGATACAGGGGGCTCTCCTAAAATGTGAAACTCCATCCATAAATACTGTGATTTTCCTTTCTTCCTAAGAGAGGTATTCTGGTGTTTTGCTTATCTGGTGAAAGACAGCTTGTGAGGTAATGCTTGGCATAGCAGGCTTCCAATAAAATGAAGTTTCAGTATGACAGGCAGAGTCTGAAATGTCATTGGGAAGGGGTAATGAGGGCAAGTAAAGAGATAGCTTTCTTTCTCACACCTGTACAGAAGGAACTGGAGGAAACCTTCTACTTTTGTAAACAAGGTAGTGATGACCTGCCACTGGCTTCTACACTGCAGAATCTGTTGTTTGCTTTCTTTTTCAATGGCTCAGTATTAGCTATTTCATTATCCACTGTTGCACTCTGCCCACAAAAGCCAGCCCAGATAGTACAGTGCTACTGGTAGGTACAAACAGTGTCTAGATGTCTTGAGGTTTGGCTCTACCAAAATACAAATCAGCAATGCATGGAAGACACTGTCACAGCTTGCATTGCACCAGGAGACAAATTCTTTGCAAAGATTCAAAATCAAGGTGGATTCATGCTCCAATCACTGATGCTCTAACTTCTACAGGCAGAGGAAAATGCCTCATTTCCTACTCAATTACCTGCTGGTGGCTGCAGAGCACCTTACCTCTTTTCCAGTAATACTGGCTGCTTGCTCTTTGAATTTCCCTGCTAGCTGAGCCACTGAGGGTGATGATGACTTGTCCACCTCTGAGTTGGTCTCTGCTGGCCTGTTCTGACAGATTGGGAACAACAAGTTATGAGTAAAGGCTGGGAAAAGCAAATGGGCTAGAGAGAAGCCTGCATATGTGTTATAAAGTTCAAGATTCAGCAGGGAATTAAAGCAGAGTTTCTTATATATGGCATCAATCACCCAGTCTGAGAGCAAGAGGTTTGAGAAGATAGGATATAGGAGCATTTTCAAATATCCCAGAAAACTAGCAATTCCACAGAATCTTTTCAGAACTAGCTGAAGAGCCTAGGCTCAGTAGTTTTCACTGGAAGCAAACTATTTTCAAGCCAAGTGTCTGTTCCCCATCTTTTCCTTGCAGTGAGCAGATGGAGCAGGTCAGTAAAGGACATTCCCATACACCTTCTCAGCTCTCCCATCCCTTTCAATATTTATTGCCCTCATCACTGTCACCCTTCCTTTACCAGTGGTTCTCCTGTGAGAAGCCATTCCACGTCCTCACAGCATGCCAGCATCTGCTTGGGGATGTCCCTGTGCTGTTCTGCTTTTTTGGCAAGGAAACACTCAGGCGGGTGTGCATGGGGGGAGGAAATACCAGGGCTGAGAGAAGCTTCCCCTCCCCTGGATCAACAACAGGCTGAGAAGAATGGAGACTGGATGGTGCAACTCTTCCTACAGCCCTGCTGTCATCCCACATTTCCCTTGTTTTCTTTGCTATATGTGTATCAAGCAGTATGAGAAGAAAGGCTTGAAATCAAAGTTGATGAAAGGAAACTTTTGTTCTTCATCTCTAGTATCTGACACCAGGGAATACTAAACTAAGCAACAATAGTTTTGTTAAAGGCAGAGACCTCGAAACAACAAACCATCAGCAATGAAGCTCATACCTCCACTTCCTTTACCACCACCATGAATGCATGACCAGCACCACACTTCCCACCCCTCCACCTCAACACTCTTCTGCTTCTCAGTCAGAAAGTTCCCCCAAAGTCCACTGCTAAAGGAATACATTTGTTTCTCCAAAAACTGCGGCAGAGCCCTTCCTTTTCCCTTCATACTGCTCTGCCCAGGAGGGACCTGCTGTCTCATTAGCAGAACCACTCCTTCAGCATAGCTGGAGGTGAAATACCAATCTGGCCAATGTATGGACATAGCCTCTGGGTCACCACACTACAGGGTCTGAAGAAATAGTTGTGGAAACTTGAAAAAATTCTAAAGTAGGAATTTCTTTAGACTCCTATTTTCTAGATTAAAAGCAAATCAAGGAGATTACAGTAAGGATCTTGGAGCATTCTCTAGTCTGAAAAACCTGGTAGAGAGCAGCATGGCTAAGGCCTGTTTGCACTGTGGAAAAGGGCCTTTCCCTCTCTCAGAGAGGTGAATAAATGGTCCTTATAAATGCTGTCTTCTTTCTCCTAGGTGTGCAAGCCCCAGTAGGTGTCTGCCATTCCCTGTTTCCAGGATCCTGACTACATCTCCCCCAGTAAACTTCTTCTACGCCTCGGACCAGCTTTCTTGCATCCAGCCGCAAAAGCCCCATCAACTGTCTCCTCTGAGGGAACTTCTAGCACCTTCCCCCCATCTTTTCAGCCTTCATTAGAGTAACTACAGGCAAGGGAAGTGTCAGATAAAAGGAGTGAAAGAAGCAGTGAGGTAAGCAGGACAGCAAGGCAAACTGCTGCACATGAAAAGTGATGGCTAGATAAATGGGGAGGGAGAGTAGTTCCCAGCTGTAAGCTGTTTTTTCATGAAGGGAGGGCAGGCTGGAAAGAGGAGGAAACAAAGAATAACCCTGGGTAAGGGAGGATGGACTGGGAGGCTTGGCTACCAGCTTCTAGGACACTTGGGCATGGCACGACCTGAACAGAGGATTCAGTTGAGGCTGAGGAGCTGCAGGTGCTCAGTGTCTGGTGGATGGGCTACCTCCTTCATAGTCTCTTTTTCTCCAGCATTTTCATAGCCTTTTCAGAGCCCTTTGCCTTTACACAGAAAAGACATAGCACTTCCTCTTGGCCTGTCTGACCTCTTGTTTTGGAGTGGTTGTGTTTTCGCTTTGAGTTACAGTCTGAGAACAGAGCTCCCTTTCTTTGGATATGATCAAATCTGTGAGGCTGGAATTATTCCATGCATTTTTTGTTTTCCTCATAGCAGGCACTGACTGTACGTGGCTCTCACCGGTGCGAAGCTTGCTGGCCGGGTGCAGGAAGCAGTGAACATGCCCTTCTAAGATTAGCACAAGTAGCCCACGGCTGTGTACTCCTCAAACTGCCAACTGCAGGCTCTCCGATTACACCACATGTTTTGCAACAGGAAAAGTCCTTTCTCGGATCCTTTCTGACAATTACACTTCTGTCACGAATCCATCTTTTTCTAAGGCTTTGGTTGTTTGGGGTTTTTGTCCCAGCTGGTGTGCCAGGTTCTATGCCTTCTAGTCAATGGAAGGTGCCATACTGGGACACTTGGATACAAAAAGTTTCCTTCCTTGCACTTCAAGGAGAACACCATGCCCCTGGCTTCCAGGAGCTGGATGTCAGTCTGCCTCGCACTGGGAGGGAGGTGGGAAGCCTCACTTTCTCACTCTTACCCCAGAGCATGTACCAGCAGCCCTCAGCCTCATCCACGCCTAAGACATGCGTCTGCTACTTTCACCCCAGAGCTCGGTGGTGGGTCTTTCCTGCCCCACAATAGTAACGTAACCTCTCCCATTCCTGGTCATTTTTTCCATCTTGGTGACATAACCCACCACTTCTCTGAAGGATGATGATAAGGAGCTCTGCTTTTTTTTTTTTGCCAAAAGAAGGTGAAATTACTCAGATGTGAATTCTGTGCTCTTTGCAACTAACTGCTGATTCTTTCCCTTTTCCTAAGAGAAGTGTGCATGGGCTAAACCTAGTGAGCTAAGGTGAAAGAATTATTCCATCAGTAATTTGGTGACTGCTACTCTGAGGTCTTTTACTGTTCCATAAAAATAAGTGTCTAAGCACTGTGTATTCTGGAAAGTGTCAGTCAGAGACTTAAAACACTAAATGAATTGTACCATCAGTGTAAGCATGGCACTATCTGCAAAAGAGGAAGTGCAACTAGCAAGTCCTCTGTACAGGGTTTCACTTTCCTCTTCCAAATAAGTTTATAAAATTGAGTAAATTTTAAAATTATTTTCAACCACATGTTTCTTCATCTGCTCTTAAAACTGAACCTGGCCCCTTTGACAGCACTGGAGAGGAAAGTCCTGCCTTTATTTGTGGGTTAAGTACAATCATGGCAATTCAAGGTTTCTCACCAAAGCCTCTCCTTCCTTATGCTTCGGAATCCTTGCCTCCGTTGTGAAAGCAAAACTGACACCAATTCCTGATTCTGCAGATTCAGAAGCCTAAAGGGGGACACTATTTTTAGCACAGATCCCTGCTTCTCTCACAGGCTCCCTGGTGGAAATACCACTAGGTCTCCATAGAAATGTCCCACATCATCTCTGCTGTATCTTTTCAAGGCAGCTGGGAGTGGAGATGCTCAGTACTCAAGGTAGTGACTGGAGATGCCTGGATGCTGTGGCACAGTCAGCTCTGGTAGCACAGTCCCAACTTGGTGATTTAATGTGCCAGAAACGCAAGGGTAGAAAGGCTGCCTGATGTGGGAGGGATCCCTCAGTACAGCAATGTCCTTACCTGACTCAGTGACATTTGCCAATTCCCCCGCTAGAGCCCATGGACCCACTGTGGGCAGCAGATGAGAGAAAGTGTGTATTAGAGGCCCACAGAGAAAAGGTCAAGAGACTGCAGAATTTCTCTGTGCGTACACCTTGGGTATTCACAAACAGCTTTTCTTAAAGATCATGATTTGAGCTACAGGTGAGGAGTGTCACTACAATGAGTTTTTTTTATGAAATCAGAATGCAGAGAATTTCCACTTCTGTAGAAAACTGGAAAGCCAGAGGTGGCTTTGGTGGTGAACTGAAATGACTTGCTGATACTGGTGCAAAACTGGGCCCAACAGCCTTCAGCTAGCAGTTTTGGTCATGACCTAACCCCAGTTTTGTCACTGTCCATAATACGCTACTGGAAATACTAGTCTGAAAGTGTACCAGTGGGATTCAGAAGCAGACAATGAAGGATTTGTGCACCTGGTTTGACTGGTGAAAAGAGCAAAGGTTTATTAGCTGCCAAACAGTGGAGTGTTTTGGCTTAAGCAGTACTTATATGCCAGCTGAATAACAGCAGTGATTTGTACTGCCCTACTCTCCTTCCCTCCCCTATGAGTCTTCTGACTTCTCTGCTTTTGCAGAAAATGGTCTAATATTTTGGCCAAATGGAGCACCTTTAATCTGAGATGCAAGTCCTCCACAGCACCTTGCAAGGCTGGAGTATTCAGCAGCTATGAATTCAGTGATGGTTACACAATTTTGGTACTGGTCCTGTGCACTTCACACACAAATTCTCATGAAACTGTATCTAGATGTGCACTGAGGCCAGTCCCTCAACTTCACATCCCTCCCTTGCTTCTAAAGAGCTTCACAGTAATGATTCCCTGAAGCCATTCTCACACCAGTCCATCGTGCCAGCCGCTTTCCCATACCCTGTGCTCACACAAGCTCTGCAAAGCTCCGCTGTGACTCCCACAGGGGTTTTTCATTGCTGCGCATACAATCTCCCCCAGCAAAAGCAAATATGGCAAAAATAATGACAAATACAGTGTGTCAGAGTGAGACACAATAAGGCATCAGAAGTTCATGGCTAGTGTCAGGATTACAGAAACAGAATCCAGAAATAGTGACCCTCAGCACCAAGCTCTCAACACCACGCTGTGAGAAGGCAGTTGCCAGTATGTTAAATGAGAACAAGAGAGGGTCAGTGTTTTTGGGGTGCAGCTTCATAAGGTCTTGGTTTTGCCAGAAAGACAGCTTATATTTCCAAGTACTCTTTCTCCCTTGACCTTCGTTTCCCCCTTCCCCCCTCCCTTGCACCAGTGTGAATTTGTGGGGCTTGTGCTGTACACCATATCACTGAAATGATCTGGGCTAAAAATATATCCCTTAAGTCTTTACAAGGTTA